CTCACTAGCTTTGTAACTTCCGATTTGAATTCTTGTAACACTCTCGCCGGGTTTTTGAATTCTGAAATACATGGTCCAAGACGTAGAACTGTCAAAAGTTGGTGGTTTTATCTTCATACTAGACAATGCTCCAACACTACCTGGATTGATGGACTGTATTAATTTATTCACCTTATATTCAAGTGCTTGAACTTGGTCCTCAAACTCTTGTCTTAATTGCTGAACATCGGCTTTGACCTCAGCTTTTACTCCCTGAACGTCATTTATAACTTTCCGAACATAGTCTTTAACTTCTTGATCATCGTCCTTAACTTTGGCTTTCACTTCCTTAATCTTTTGTTCTAGGTTAGCGACAAATCCTTGTATGGTTTGAAATATTTTCTGCAGTTGCCCAATGTCTTCTTGCCTTTCTTTTTGTCGCCTGGCCTCTTCGTCTTGTTTTTCTCGTTGCCGTTTAGCTTCTTCTTCTTGTTTTTCTTTTTGTCGTTTAGCCTCTTCTTGTTGTCGTCTATCTTCTTCTTCTTGTTTTTCTTTTTGTCGCCTGGCCTCTTCGTCTTGTTTTTTTTGTTGTCGTTTGGTCTCTTGAAGTTCCAACATTTTGCGCAGAAAATCTTCAATTTTTTGCTTGTTGCCTCGTAATAGGCATGTATAGAATTATCTGGAATTTTCCTCAAACTCTCTTCAAATATCTTGGTTTTTGCTTGAAGTTCTAAACACGTCGGTAAAGTCACAAATTGGATAACTTGCTTTATTCTCGAATAGAATGTTCTACAATTTTCTTGAAATGTCTTTTCTGAATGTCGATTGATATAGTAAACACGTCGGTGAAGTGACAAATTCCACATCTCCTTTGGTTTCCAAATAGAATTTTCTAGAACATACTTGAAAATTCACTATCACCGTCAAAATCGGGTATACAGTCACTTCCGGGGTGATTTACACGATCGGTTAAGTTCCTTCTTGTGATTGTCACTACTTACACTGACTAATTGTCCCAGTGTTCACTTAGTGTCTACACTGGTGTCCAGACTACTCCGCAATCGGATTTCACTATGCAGTACTCGAATTATATCCCACTTCTGATACCAATGCCACGGCTCTGGGGTGCGTGACAGAAATCTTGGGTCTGTTTATTCCAAAATCAAAGTTCAATTGACACAACAATAATTTATACTACGTTGCTACACACTCTGACACTAATCAACTCAAACAACTTAATAACTTTCTACAACTCTTACAATAATCACTATCTATAAAACGTATCACAGCCAATCTTAAATTTAAAAACTACATACTAACTAATGCCGGCCTTCATATATCCGTAATCTAATAAACGCGATAGTATTTTTTCCTGAATTAGCACTGTAAAATTCAGAATCAGCTGTCCAATTCTGTACACCCTGGCGCTTCCGCCAGATTTTCGCGACAATATATTGCCTTACCAAAACTGCATAATGTAGTGGTGCACCGTCTTGCTGCGGAACCATACATTTTCGTCATGTATTATCGGGTTATTAGCACTGGGAGAGGAATTTCTTGAAGTAGGGTCAGTACGTATAGGGATTAGATATTATTGTAAAAAATAGAGGTATCCTAGACCGTCCAACGTGCCATCAACAAAGTAGGGCCCAATAATCTCATTTCTGGATAATTCTTGCCAAAATATCAATTAGGTAGGAGGTATTCTCTCATCGATTTGGAATTTTCTTTCTCTCAAATCTCCGGTTTCAACTCGACGAGAGATATTATTGCACATATCCATTAGGGTTTGAGAGAATTGCATTCGTCGATTTCGATCGTCTTCATTCAACTCGTGTACCTACCAATTGAAATTGTATTTTATAAGAATACCACTTCTCTTGAAACCTGACGAGTGCTACAGTGTGGATTTTCTTCAATCACTCTTTTTTTTGCTCGTTGATTGTCGTAGGACGTCCACTCTTTGGCTTATCTTCCACAGATCCACTTTCTCAAAACTCTCAATTTTGGTGGCTACTTAGGTATCTACTAATTGATTTATTGGTCCATCCTGATATTTTATTGTCAAATAAAGCACACATTTTCAATCTCATATCATAGCACTTAATAAGAAGCTCGGGTCTGGCTGTTTCTGCGTAAGAACCGCTCTTGGAAACCCTAAAGTCCTTACCCCAAATCCATGCAGTTTTCTACTCTTATCTTTTCGGGGCAGTAGAGTCACTCTTTAAACTTCAAAAACGTGCAACGCGATTCATTGCTGGTGCGTCGCCAAGAGACCACTGTAGGTAAACCTTTATTTAGGTATTTCTTACAATATTTTTATTCTTCCGTCTCTCTTTGTCCTGGAATCGGTCAATCTTATTCACAAACACGAATCTATTTCTTTTTCCTGCGTATCAAACCTCCCATGGTACTTCTCAAAGATATACCATACCACTTCCAATTCCACATTCTATACGCTTGTTAGTAACTTTTTTATCTATACTCTATACTGCCATCAAATTATATAATCAACTTCCTACAGCTATTATAAATATTCCTGATATAGCCAAATTACGTGAAGAACTTAAAAACATCTTTGCAAACAAAGCTTTCCATTCTGTGGAGGAGAAGGTATTTAAACTTCTCATTTTGAATTTCATGATTTTTTTTTTGCTTTTGCTGCGCACTCATCATGAGAATTTCAATTCTCTGCGTTGCTGATACACGATACACGCATTTTAAATTACTTTCACTTGAAATTAAATCACACCAAAACTCACAAATGACATACCTACACTTCGAATGTTAGATAATATTTCAATGTTGTTTATTCCAGCCGTGTTCAAGCTTGAAAAATAACAATTTTCAATTGTAGAATCCAGAAATGACAGTATGTATATACAAGGGGTGCCTTTTAAAAAAAAAAAGTTGATACCGGTACCTACTTTACAATAATCAGACAAGACGCACACTCTTTCACTAAAATTTGAATAGTCATTTAAACGAGGGACTATTTTAAGTGTATTAAAAAAAAAAAGATCTATATGATCTATTATTCAAGTTTGCTAATGATTCCAATCAAATGTAGAAGCGTGCTGCAGCGACAAGGCGCAATCGTTGCCGTTGCCTCTGGTTATATTATTTTACATTATTATATAGCCAGGTAAAAACTGTTATCTGGCGTAGGTATAAGTAAAATTAATTTTTTGTCTCTCATTTGTTAAAGATATAAACCCAAATAAAAGAGGATTACATAATAAAATGTATACATTTTTTCCTTCAGTTTTGACAGTTTTGTCATACAAAGCCTTGGTACCGGTAACTATGACAGAGTAAAGCTGGGTTTATACAGGAAATAAAATGACATAAAATAAGAAATAAAATAAAATTAAAAGTTGGCCTTATGAGAAACCATGGTGACGTTTATACACAAAAATAAAATAAGATAACAAATAAGCAAAAATAAAAAGTTGGTTAACTTTTAACTTCTTATTTTATTTTATGTGAAAATGCTATTTGCGCATGTCACGACATCGATTAGATTAGACTGATGACAGTTCAGGCGCGTGGTGATTGGTTCGAAATAATTCTAATTTTATTTTATATTTTTCTGACGCCTTATTTCTTATTTTGCTTATTTGTTATGTTATTTCTTATTTTATTTTATTTTATTTTCTGTATAAATCCAGCTTAAAAGGCCGTTGTTTATAGCAATAAGTAGTAAGATTTCTGACAGATTTGCATTTTGCAATTTTTTTTTCCAGATATGAATGTCCTCTAGACAAAGATAACGAGTCTTCAAAAAAAAAGCAATCAAAGAGTGCTTTGATTACGAAAACCTACGTCGCATTATTTGTTTCTTTATTTTTCAGGATTTTTGACATTAAAGTTCATTGACAAAATTAAAGTAAAATATTGCTGATGAGACATACTTTCAAAATCTTTGATATGTTTTTTTTTTTTGAAGACCCGTTATCATTAATGAAGCCGCAATGGTTGCTTTGACAGTTTCCAGAAGGAACCTACGAACAATAATTAAGTATTATTCCTGTGATAAAACTGATTCTTTAAAAATAAATAACGCCACACTGACTTGTGAAAAGTTTAGAAAAAAATTAAAACTGAATATAAAAAATAAGTTAAAATTGTGTATAATAATTAAAAAAAAAAAAGTTATAAAATCCTGAATCCCTAACTAATTAATTAATTTATCTATTTTTCTTGGTGTTTTGCCAACATTTTAAAATTAAAACTATTATAGGTATTTATAGTTGTAGTGGGAACACTGTCAAAATGAGAAAATTCTAGTTTTTAGTTGCTTTATCCAAATATGCCAATTTCAAAAATTAAAATTAGTGAAATAGTTCCATATTTTAAAAATGTGGACCAAGAGTAGTTGAGCCCGGGAAAAAAAACAACGATATAATACATGGTGCGCCATCTCCTTTTTGAAAATCATACTTGATAGTGCGGAAACTAAAAAAAGGCATAGGGAATCTGTAGAAAGCAATAAATGTCAACAATTTTAGACCCTATCTGACCCAGGAAGTTAACTACCTGAAATAATAGAGAAAAATCAAGAGAAATAAAAAAAAAAAAAAAAACAACCAAAGCCTTTTCCTTAAATACCTTTTAAAATACTCCACAGATGTCGTCACAAGCAAAATTCAGAAAATTAATATTTTGAATTTTATTAAGCCTGGTTTCACTTCTAGTCTAGAATTTAGATAAGTTCTATAGATCAACAATCAACAAATAAATAAGGCCCTGATTTTATCTGACGATTGACCGATTACCAAATCGTATATTTCGCAATTATTATTAAATTGGGATAGGTATTTAGAATTAACGATTTCGATATGAGAAAGTTGATGTGGAAATGAAACGAACTGTGTTTATTACTTATCGATTTTCGTTGTTATCAAAGAACACGAGTGATATCTTTCTTCAATACAGAAATTAGAAAAAGTTAACAGCTGCTCCGGCTGTTGATGTTCTAGTTCGTGACTGAAAGCACCTATCGACTTTACTTGACACATGTGACATTTACGTCATATTATATTATGACATTTCACTTCAGCAACAGCCAACAGAAACCAAGGAAGCAGCAATAGCAACCAAAAGTATAGAACATTTTTGTTGAACTAGTGAATTTTTATTATTATAATGATTTAATTAAAGTGTTGTGCCAAATTTTTGAACAGAACAAGAGCCAGAATGTCTGAAAAAGGTAGGAGATCGTCTTCCAATGATGCTATAGAAAAAATAATAGGTAATATGACCTCCGAAATGCAAAATACTGATGGCCAGTATAGACCACTTGGATTTTCTTCCCAACAAAATATTGCTGAGCCAATTAATTGGGGCTCCCAGGCAGCCTCCAACACTTATATGAACTATGGATTACAATATCAAGAGCCACATCTACATGGAGAGCAGTTGACGAACTATATTCATCAAGCGACAATGTTTGACCCTGTACCTGTGCTGTTGCAGAAGAACATACATTTGCCAGATTATAATAACTATAACTTAAGGTCCAATAGTGCCCCTCAAACTCTATACAATTTCCCACAGACTGCGATGCATTCTGATTCATTAAACCAGAACCAGAACACTTCCCACACTCAAATTTTCGACAATTTAGTTGGTAACTGGGCTGTACCAAATAATTCAGGAACTTACAGCCCCTTTGGTAACACTAGTACATTCAAACCAAGCTTATTTGACTTCAAAAACCAAAATGGAGAACATATGTATGACGAAGAGCCAAAATTTAAGCAGTCGGAGCTTGTTGATGATAAATTTAACTTTAACAAAGATCTGAGGAAGTCCAGGCCACTGGCTGAAGTAAAACCTATGCGCCCCAGCTATTCTGATGTATTAACTAAACCTGTACCTCCAACAAATAACATGAAGCCTGTAAAAGTAGAGGCAAAGGATGTAAAATTTAAGAAAGACACTCGCAAAAATGGGAAACTTGATAAAGCATGTAAGACTACTAATGTTTTGAACCGCAGCAATACCAACAATGACATGAAAGATCTACCAGCAGAAAAAACCACTTCAAATTTGAAAACCGAAAAAAAGTCTATCAAAGTCCATCAGTTACACAGAAGATGGGCCTCTTTAGATAACATTACAGATTCTGAACCAAATTCAATGAAAACCGAAGAGCAAAAAAGAATTAAGAAGCAGGATGACACAAAATTGAATAAAGCAAAAAATAAATTTTCTAAGAATATAAATAATCTTGCTGATAATGTTTCTGATAATATTGTTAGAGCTGAATCGATAGCTATCACCAAAAATATGCTGAAGAAAAATAAAGGTAATGCTAGACAGAAGCAAGGAGAGCGGGAGGGATCTGAAAGACCTTCTAAACGTAACCAGAGAGCTAGGAAGAAGGATAATCAGCCAACATTTGGTAAGTCATTTTTATTTATCTTTTATGTTACCGTCATATTGAGGGCCTCAATATTACCTAAAGCCTGGTTTATACAGAAAACTCGACAGAAAATAAAATAAAATAAAATTCAAATTATTTTGAACCAATCACCACATGCCTGAACTGTCTTTGGTTTAATCTAATTGAAGTCATGACATGCACAAATAGCATTTTCATATAAAATAAAATAAGAAGTTAAAAGTTGACCAACTTTTTATTTTTGCTTATTTCTCATCTTATTTTATTTTTGTATATAAACGCCACTGTGGCTTCTCATTAGGCAATCTTTCAATTTTATTTTATTTCCTATTTTATATTATTTTATTTCCTGTATACCCAGCTTAAGTAGGTATATAACTCGGTATATAATAAATATACCTATTTAATTATTGTATACTTCAATTACCAAAATGCAATGCAATTGCTTTTATCCACAATTACTACAATAATAATGAACATCTTTATTCAATTCTGTTGCATATACAAAGTATACCTACTCATCACAAAAAGGTTGAGTCAAAGTTTAACTGTTTTCTGGTAACACCAGATAAAAGCTAAATTCAATGTTTTCAGCATATTTGCAGTTATTATTATAATCCACTTTATCAAAGCAGTAACTAATTATTTTTTATCAAATACGCTGAAATATGACTTCAAGAGAACAATGTTCAATTCAATTCAATAGGCTTTATTGTTTTGCTGATTGTACAAATTAATTGTTCTCTCGATAGGTTATCATTCAATTATTATTATTGTAATTTTAAATTTTGCAATCATAGAGAATTTGAGCAATGATTGATTAAGGTAGTGTTTAATTGATGACTTAGAGGAATTAAGTCAATCTTTTTATACTATACTAAATAATGATATTACACAAACAGCTCCTTTAAACAGGAATAAAAATCCCATTTTTCCAAAGTGGATGGATGACACGTTAAAGGAAGTAATCTTAAATAATAAAGCCGCCACAAATAATAATGTTATGGACTCAGTCATGGATATACAATACATAATAAGATTACCCAGCTGAAAGATAACTTCGGAACATGTCAAGATGGTACCTCTAGTTTTTGCATTAAAAATCATATTATACAGGGTGTTCCGACATTAATGCATCAAATTTTCATGGCATATTCTACGTCGAAAATAAGCCCTAGTTTCCTATATAAACATATGTCCGGAAACGCTGCCTTTCTGAAATACAGGGTGTTGAAATTCTGAGAAAAAAACTATTTTTTCATCATAATTTTCAAACCACTCTAGATATTTCATTGAAATTTTGTACACTGCTTCCAAGCAGCAAAACGCATTTTTTGATTTGAAATTATCTTTTTCAAAAATCACCAGAGATGTCCGTACCGGATTTGCATGGAATATTTTTCAAGAAAAAAATGGTGCGCCACTGCTTTTTCCAGAAATAAAAATAATTTTTGAGATCCCCATTCAATTTGAAACAAATTTGCTCTCTTGACTTTTTTCCGAAAGATGTACCATTTTCAAGTAAATCAATAAAAAACCATTTTGATGCATGGCGAAATCGCCACAATTCTGATAAAAATGTTAAACATTAAGACCTGAAATTTCAAATTATTTTTGTGACGTCATTGGTAATTTTTTCAAAAAATATTTCCCAATAAAAAATGTCTTTTGCTGCTTGAAAGCATTGAAATATCTAGAGTGGTTTGAAAATTATGATAAAAAAATAGTTTTTTTCTTAGAATTTCAACACCTGCCCCCAGATTCTATTTCACGAGTCGAGTCGAATTGTCTCGATATCGAATACGACAGCTCCAGACTTACCGTGTAATAGGTATTGATAAATCGGAAAATAGAATCGCTATTTTCAAATTCAAATTCAAATTCTTTATTCATGTTAAAATCACAAAAAAGCAATGTACATACGTCAAAGTAAATAAAATAAGTAATGACAATAAAATACAAAATGACAATTCATTCGCACATTAAACATTCACTTTACAAACAATTTAAAAACAAAAAATCATTAAGGCAATGGGCTTTATACATACAATCAAGTTATAAAATAAAATGCAAAAACTACAATTATTAATAATATTGATCATGACAAAAATACATTGAAATACTTTTGACAATATTTTGACAATTCGATACGAATTTCAAAATAGAATCCGGCAGCAGGTATCTCGGAAAGGAAGCGTTTCCAGACATATCAAATCAATCCAAATAAGCTTTATTGTCAGAAATTTGTACGAACTTATTGACAAAGCAATTTTATCCTAACATTATATGGCCGCTTGAACTAAAATATAAAAGTAAGTAATCGAGAACTCGAGAAGTAATAATTTTAGTAGCCATTACTACAAGAACATTTGACATACACACTTCAACATTTGATGCAGTAAAGGAACTTTTTTTTATAGTAATACCTAAATAATTCTAGTTAGAATAATATTTCAATCACAATGCATTCCTAGGAAAAATAAATACTTAAAAATCGATTAAAAATAGAACATCACTTAAAGACATTTACGATATCAATAGACAAATTAATATGATAGGTATAAACTAGGTATAAACTAGCAAAGGTTCGACTTCAAATCAGGTATTTAAAATAACAGAACATTCACATATATGACAAATTTTAAAACACATTCAAAAACACTCAAAACAAGGTTTAAGCTGACCTTATGTATAGAAACCAGGTTTTATACAGGACTCAAAAAAACAAACGAAAAGTAGTCTCACACACATTATAAGAGACCTTGATATAAGCATTATTGTTATTCCTATGGTAACTAAAAACCCCTTCAAAGAATCTCTAAATGTTTTGAAGTCTGCTATGTTTTTTAAATCCTGTGGTAATTTGTTTGATATTTTTATACTTTCATATATAATCGAGTTTCTTGTTAATGTGTACTTTGGAATTGGTAAGGCAAGATTGTTATTCCTTAAATTATAATTCAAATTAGAATTCTCATTATGAGTTTTGAACTTTTCAAATATTAAGCATGCTGTCTCCACAATAAAAATACAAGGCACAGTCAAAATATTCTCTTGCTTGAAAAGTTCTCTGCAAGAATGTCTGTGGTTAACATTACATAAATATCTAACTGCTCTTTCCTGTATGACAAAAGCTGATTGAACAGATTTTCGAGAAGAAAACCCCCAGAAAGCAATGCCGTAACGGATATGTGATTCCATCAGTGCATAGTAAGCTATTTTTGCCAAGCTTTTTCCTAGCTCCCTTTCTATAGTTCTTATGATATAATACCCTTAAGCTAGCTCGAGGGCTAGCTTTTTGTTCAACAAATCAATGTGTGTATCGAATTTTAGTTTTGAGTCGATATGCAATCCTAAAAATTTAACCGAATCCCTATTTTGTATGGAGACATCATCCAAAACTATATTTTCGACAGAGCACCTAAATGAAAAAATATTTTTTTTAAGAATATTAAATACCAGACCATTTGAGTTACACCAATCTTTTACTTTGGATAGATCGTTTTCCATAATATCCCTTAAAACTAGCGGGTCCTTGTGTTTCCAAAGCATTGTAGTGTCATCCGCATCCAGGGCTGGTAAGTCATTTGAATACAATAGAAAAAGGATAGGACCCAGTACAGAACCCTGCGGGACGCCATGCGTTAAATTTTGAGGTTCTGAATCGTTACAATTTGCTATCCTAACAATCTGGCTTCTTCCCGCTAGATACGATCTAAACCATTCCAACTCTCTTCCCTTGATCCCATAATGGCTCAGCTTCCGCAGCAGTGTTCCGTGATTGACACAGTCAAAAGCTTTCGAAAAATCACAAAACACTGCCGCAGCCTTCTCACCATCATTGAGCGCCAAGAATAGGTCTTCCAAGATCGAAAACATAGCGTCATTTGTGCTCTATATGTTTATATAGAACACTAGAGCTTATTTTCGACGTAGAATATGCCATAACAATTTGGTGCATTAATTTCGGAACACCCTACCCTGTACATGGATGCACTTCTTTTCTTACATCTTATGTTGAATCCTCGGTAAAATCTATAAAAGATCATCAAGTAGATCATTATCCGCAGGAATTTTTCCAACCCTTTGGAAAACTAGTCTTGTAGCCCCAATTTTCGAGAGTGGTGACAATTAGAAACATTGGGAATAATCACAGGCCAATTCCAATTTTTTTATATTTTCTATAATTTTTGAGTCAATAGTTACAGATAACACCTTTTTTTAAAAAACATAATGGGCTCTTTCACTAATTTTTGTAACTAGCAAAATTGGATAAAGCAACTGAAAATAGAATTTTCTGCACCTTTACTTTTGAAAAATTGGAGTTTTTTTTTGAGAAAATAAATTTAAAAAAAAACTCTCCAATGAAAACATGGAATTTATCCTCACTACATTAGAACTTGAATGTTGAAAGTGTTGCCACTAATAATTGTCAGATTTTAAAATTTTTGATAGATTTATTTCTAAAATATTGACGAAATACCAAGAAAAATAGTTGAAAAAATTACTCAGGAATTCAAGAGTTAATAACATTTACTTTTGAATTAACATCAGTTTAAATTTTTCTACTTACAACGCCCTACATTTAGTCACAACTGGCAACAGCACAATCAAACTTTTTACCCAGCGGCAAAGAACTAGCCTCAAACTGCTATGCAATTTAAATAATTTTGGAAGTATTAAATTTATCAGTGGTTAGAAATGCCTATTTTTCCGTAATTGAATCACATTTACGTTATGGTCTTTGTTTTTGGAGTGCTTGTTCGGACCGATTGTTCAATAGTGTTTTTATACTTCAGAAGAGGGCAATAAAATGTATGTGTAGGGGTAAACTAGAAAAAAATATAAACACTCTCTATCGCCCACACACAGTCATAACACCCGACAAACTTATAATGTGGGTTTGCCAAATCCTATTTCGAGTCAGATTAGAAATTCTATTATTTTTAATCGAGTTTTTAATAGTCGACAACTTTTCAATTACCTGGGGCCCAATTCTC